ACACCCAGCTAATTTTTTTATTTATTGTAGAAATGAGGTCTTGTCAAATTGCCTGGGCTGGTCTTGCACCTGCAGGCTCAGGTTATTCACTCACCTCGGCTTCCCAAAGTGCTGGGATTACAGGCTGAGCCACTGAGCCCGGCCTCAACATTTTATTTTAAAGTAGGCTACAGGTTAGACAATTTTGTCCAATTGTAGGTGAATGTAAATGCTGTGAGTACATTTAAGGTAGTTTAGGTATATTATGTGCATTTAGGATATTTTCAATTTACAAGAAGCTTATCAGGACATATTCCTATCATAAGTCAAAGAGCGTTTTTATTAGAAAAGACAATAAACTTATCAGTGGCACAGCTGCCCCTTGGCTACTCAGCTTCCATAGTACTATTTTCTACGTGTTTGAACTCCCTAAACAAAAACAAAGAGAAGCAGAAGTGGCTTCCTGAGCTCCAAGTCCCAGCAGCACAAGCAGCTTCTCCAGTACTCATTCATAACTTATAATTCCTTTCCTAACAACCAATCAGGAGAGCAGTACTGATACAGAGACCTGTTAATGTCTGTCCATATCGTCACAATCCCTAGAGAAAGGCATGGCAAAGATTCAAGTGCTCTTGTACAACCCTGAACAATATTCCTGAGAGCTAAAAAAAGGTCTGCTGCCCCTTACGTACTCCCAGTAAGAAGCTTCAAAGGCTCAACTTCCCTGCACACTATGCCTAATACACTGAGATATATTCCTGAGAGTCCCCTTATCTCCTATGCATTCCCAGTAAGTAGCTTCAGGGGATCCTTGACTTCCCAGTAGATTGCACCTTGTAGATGCAAATCTCCCTTTACTCCCTTTTTCTGAGCAGTCTTAAGTTTGAATAATATAGTTATCAATGTAATTGTAAGCCTTGTGATTTGTATAACTTTTGTATCAATGTAACATGTTTTTTGATTTGCATAACTTTTGCACAATGCATGATGTCACAGGCCTTGTAAACTCCCTTTACTCTATGGCAAGCTTGATTAACGCTTTTGCCAGTCCTTACTGATAAAAGCTGATACCTGGCACCAGGAAGTCTGGACCCAAAAATGTCACTATGGATAAATGAGGCTGAAACTCAAGTTCTATACAATGCTCTTCTGGTCACGTGACTAATGTACAGGTACTAATGACTCTGGACTTATAAAAGTGAACTGTAAAAGCCTGGAGGGTGGGCAGATCCATTTTAGAAACAGTCCGGATCTACTCCCTGGATTCAAATTCAGAAATAAACCAGTTTATCTGCCTCCCAATCTATTGGCATCGAGCGTTAGCAGTCAAGTGGCTATTTCAATAAGAAAATTCCACAACTTGTTTAATAGTTCACATCAGTGTCAGAAAGTTCCTTTTATCTGACATGAGCCCTTCATAGATAAAGAAAGTTGTGGGCTTTTTTTTTTTTTTTTAAAGAGCAATAACTCTGGCACTAGATAATTTCGGCTAAAATCCCAAGTCTAACACTTTTAAATATAGTGCTTTAAGTAAGTTACCTGTTTATTTGCCCCTCTAAAATGGAAAGAATAATATCTACCCCACAGGGTGGTTGTGAAGAGTAAAATCTACTAAGTGAAGATTAAATCAACCAACCAATGTGAAACACTTAGAACCAAATCTTGCACACATCAGTAAATGTTAACTGCTATTATTTTATTTGTAGAGATGCAGTGAGTTTATTTCTATTCTCCCCACACTACAACGAAAAATCCATAAAGCCAGGGGGATTTGTCTATTTTGTTCGCTGCCTTATTCTCACCACACATAGAACAGTTCCTGGCCCACACAGATCTCAAAAAATATTTGTTTAATGAACAGACACTAATCACAAGCCTTTTCTATGAAAAGTCACTAATGGTAACTTTTAGAAGTCCTAATAATTTATAGTTTAGCAACTTAGAAACAGTTAAAATGGGTAGGGGGAGGAAAAAATGATGCCTTTTCTTTAAGAAGACCAATAATCAGCAACACATTACTTCAGTATTTTAACTTGCCTAGATCTGGCATATATGCCCGTTGCATGGCCTGGGAAAAAACATTTCACTTGAGCCTCAGTTTCCTATTTTCAGAGGGCAATAACTACTTCAAAGGACTGTTGCAAGATTTTTAAAGTGGTGTAACTGACAGCATTTAGGAGAAAGTTTGTACTTAATCTAAGCATCACATAAAGATAGCCTCTGGTTTTTCTTGTTTGAGCAGTAGGAAATCAGCTTTCACTAGGCACTCAATTTGAGCTTTAACTGAAAAAGCTGTTCTAAAGGGGTTTCAGAAACAAGAGCTATGGCACAATTTACATTTCATCAGCATAGCAAATTCCATAATCCCCAAAAACATTCTTCCCAAGAGTTTCTATGAAAAGAATATACAGTCGAGCTTGGTGGCTCAGCCTGTATGTAATCCAGCGCCTTTGGGAGGTTGAGGTGAGTGGATTGCCTAAGCCCGCGGGTTCGAGACCCGCCTGGGCAGTGAGACCTCATTTCTATAATACATCAAAAAAATCAGCTGGGCAAGGTAGCGCGTGCCTGTAGTTCCAGCTACTTGGAAGGCTGAGGCAGAAGGATCGCCGGAGCCCAGGAGGTCGAGGCTGCGGTGGCTGGGAGCAGCCACTGCACTCCAGTCTGGGTGACAGAGTGAGACTCCAACTCAAATTAAAAAAAAAGAAAGAAAAGAATATACAATTGTGTTCTGAATCTTCTGAAGGTAAAATAGGAGCATCAAGATACATATGTTCAATAACTTACGTCCATAACTTACATATGTTCAATTTAATACAGATTCAAAAAGACCAACAAAAATCTGGCATTAGATTGAAAGGTGAATATTTTGAAAAGTAACCCTATTGATAAGACAATTGTATCTTTAGCAAGTATAGAATTTGACTTCATTAATTCCTCTTACTATTTCCCCAAAACTGAAGGTAAATGTCCAGTCAAAAATTACTACATAATACAGGTTATAAAACACTATTGTTAACAATTTGTAGTGGAACCATCTTTACTGTTTACTACTGTAAGTAGCTGTTAGCAAAGCTCTCATTCATTCTTTTTTTTTGAGTTGGAGTCTCGCTCTGTTGCCCAGACTGGAGTGCAGTGGCACACTCTGGACCACCGCAGCTTCGACCTGCTGGGCTCCAGCGATCCTTCCGCCTCAGCCTTCCAAGTAGCTGGAACTACAGGCGCGCGCTACCACGCCCAGCTAATTTTTGATTTATTGTAGAGATGAGGTCTTGCCAAGTTGCCCAGGCAGGTCTCGAACCCGCGGGCTCAGGCAATTCACTCACCTCAGCCTTCCAAAGCGCGGGATTACAGGTTGAGCCACCGAGCCCAGCCTAATTCATTCTTAATTTACAGAAACAAACAATTTTATTATTGACTCAAAATAGAAAGTGAAGATATCTATTTTTCTGGCAGTACTAGAACTCAATTAACAAGTTATCTTTCTAAACCTCACAGCAGAATTGAAACATTAGCTTTGCTAAAAATACAAAACTATGGATGTTAAAACTAAAATAGATCTTATTTACTATAAGTACCACCAGTCTAATAGCAATGTTAAGTTTTAATATTTGAAACCCAGAAACTAAGTTTTCAAGATTTGTAACTCCACAGATCTCTGGTGTTCTGGGTGAGAACACCCAGACCCAGAGAGGTTAAGTGACCAAGTTCCCGCTCTCCTGCTCCCAACACAAACAGCCAGTCCAAAGACAGTGTTGATTAGCGCAGCTTTCCTCCACGTTACGAAAAATCCTCTTATCAGAAAAAAAAAAAAAAAAAATCATTCAGCATCACGTGATCTACACTTAAAAAAAAAAAAAAAAAAAAGACACACTAGGGATCACAAGTTCCAATCTGGTACCCTTCCCTTATCTCCTTACAAGAGCAGCTCAATCATGAAGGTGGTGGTGAGGGTAGTGGGTAAACATAATACTAAGTCTTTATTGGAAAACTCTGGAATGTGACAACACCTGCTCACGCGAGAAAAACACAAGCTAAGTTATTGACAGCAGGAATGATGAATCACCCAACTTAAGTTAAAAAGGAACAAAAGTACACCACTACACTGGATCTTGATAAGTATGGAGTCTTTTTGCTAACATTGTATTCTCTTTCCTCGGTTTTACACGCTCATTTTGTAATACATTTTAACAGGCCTGACATGCATTTCGTGATAATGTTTGAGTCTCGCTGAACATAAACGTCCCTATATGCGAATACACTTTATGCTGAGTAACTTGCTGGTTACCTACGGTTAACAAATGTTTCATCCGGTATGGTTCCTACCGCGTTCAGTGAAACACTGAATATTTTTAACCCAGCAAGACAAACTCCTCTAATAACTCACACAAGTCGAAAAATGACCTTCAGCTTAAACTGAGACACAGACAATCAAGCAGGCAAACGGAGAGTCCATCACTATCCAGGGGGCAGAAAAGTCTCAGGTACACACCAAGAGGGGTGGGGGTGGAGGGAGGGCTCCTGAAGCCGCGGTGGACAGGGCCGGGCAGGAGCGATTCCTCGCGCGCTCCGCATTCTGCAACCCTCGGTCCCTCCGCGGTGCGCCCGGGGCCGTGAACTACAACCTTCATCCCAGACGACCCCAGCAGTTCCACACGGGGTCCCGAAGCAACCGCGGGGCGGAAGAAAGGGCCGAAAGACAGGCCAGGTGGTGCCACTAAGGGACGGACGACGTGGGGGCGAGACACCTCTCTCCAACGCAATCGGAGCAATGGGTGTACTGCGGAGAGGACTTCTCAGGAAGGTCCCGGAGGACAGGCAAAAGGCTGCGAGTCGGGAACCACCTCCGAGCACGGGAGGGCACCGAGCGGTCCGGGGCCCGCATCCGGGCAGCTCACACCCCGCACTAGGACGGCGCCCGGCCGCGGCGCCCACACTCCGGAAGTATTCGGAGACCCCCCCACCCCCCCCGGCCGGGACTGGCCCTCTCCCCGACCCGTACGCCCGCGGCCCGAGCCCCTCACCCTGGTGATTGAACAGTCTCCATATCCTGGTGAAGAGAATTCCCATTCTCGGGCAGCGGACCCCCCACTCCTGCCACCCGGGCCGCCTGGCCTCCCCTGGCTCAGGCTGAGGGGGAGGAGAGAGCCGCGCTGGGGCCTCCGCCTCTGCCGCTGCTCCCGCGCTGG